GTCAGTCTTCACAGAAGCAAAGCCCAAACCACACCCACTGCCGTGGAGTCCATTCTGACTCACAGCGCCCCTAGAGGACAGAGTGGAACTGCCCCACAGAGTTTCCAAGGCTGTCAGGTTTTAAGGAAGCAGTCTGCTTCATCTTCCACAGAGTAACTGGTGAGTTTGAACCACCAGCCTTTTGGTTAGCAGCTAAGTGTCTTAACCACTGTGCCACCAGAGCTCCTTCCTGCATGTTCTAGCTTCTCTGTAACAAAGGGCGACAGGCATACACACTTGGCTCGTGTACAAGAATTTCCTATAAAGGGCTTTGTCTTGCGCCTTTCCTGATGGGTTGCTTTTATAAACAGCCGTCCCCAGCATAGATACCTTGACCTCCAGTCTAGTTTTATCTGGAATGGAAATGCACTCATAGGCGGTGACTTCATTGTTACTTTAGCGACCAGCGGTTAAAATACAAAGCATCATGACGGTCTGACACGGTGTATCTTGTCGGGCTGGGTTCCTTACGATGAATGTCAGCCGAATGAATGACATCTCGTGCTGGCATTTAGCTTGTCTTGTACACATACGACTCTTTGCACGGCAGCTCCTTATCTTTCAATACCATGTAGATTTTTAGACCTGTAAATACCGTCCGCTAAGACTTGAAAGAATCAGCCCAGAATTGCAGGGACTTTTAGCCACTATTTTCCCCCATCTTGGTGCTCACTTTCCTGTGAGACAAACCTTATCAATGTCTTGTGAGCTGTTTTGCTTCATGGATTAGACAGAGGCGGTGGGGTGGGCGGGGCGGGGTGGGTCTGTTTTCCAGGGAGAGTCATTGCCTGTCTCACGCAGGACGACGACAGACCGATGATTGACGTCATGGATCAGCTGAGCTCGTCCATCCTGGAAAGTTTCATTCACGTGGCCGTTTCAGATTCGGTGAGTACACCCTGGACCTGAGCCGCTGGGCGTCCTCAGCTCTGAGCGTGAGTCCTCTGTGGAAGAGAGGGACCAGGGCTTGTTATGTGGAGGAGCGCTGGGTTTGATGGCAGGCCAGTACCCTCACAAAGGCACTCAGAAACAGCCCGCTTTCACCTGCTTGCCCAGGCGACACCAGAACCAGTCCAGAAAGATTGGAACCTTCGGAAGAGAGATAAGACTTTGTCAGCTGCAGTTTCAAAAAGATTGGCTCAGGATTCCTTGATAAACATAACCCGTCTAGTTTAGTGTCTTTGTGCTCTGTGTAACATGTATGGGGTGCTTTGGAGCTCTGGTGGCGTAGTGCCTAAGGCACTTGACTGCTAACCAGAAGGCTGGCGGTTCAAACCCACCAGCCACTCCTCGGAAGGAAGGTTGGACAATCTACTTCCCTAGAGATACTGCCTCAGAAACCCAAGAAGAGGTCACTATGAGTTGGGGTCGACTCGATGGCAGTGAGCTTTGGGTGGTTTTATTTTTTTTTCTTTTTTTTTCAGCTTTCAAAAGGAGTCCTGACGTGCAGTGCCTAAGGCATTGGACTGCTAACCAGAAGGTTGGTGGTTCAATCCCCCCAGCTGCTCTGTGGAAGGAAGGTGAGACAATCTACTTCTGTAAAGATTTACAGTCTTGGAATACCAATAGGGGTCGCTATGAGTCAGAATCGACTCAAAGCAGGGGGTTGGTTTGGGTTCTTGTGCAGCTTACAAAGCACTTGAGCCTCACAGTTACAAACTCTCAAACATGGAGGGGTAAACCAAAACTATCCCCCTGAGGTCATCTTTGAACTAACAAGTAGCCTGTCTTACTTAGCATGGTACGTCTGCTGTGAGCACTGTGAAAAACAAAAACAAGAAACCACTGCCATTGAGTCAGTTCTGACCTATAGCAACCCCACTGGGTTTCCAAGATGGTAAATATTTACAGAAGGACATTGGCCCATCTTCCTTCCGTGGAGCGGGTGGTGAGTTTGAACCACTAACCATCTTTGTTGCAGCCAAATGCCTTAGGCACTGCGCCACCCTCACTACTCTTGAAGAATTACCTGTGTGAGTCAAATTGACCACAGGGACTCCGGAGGCTGGTGGGAAGCTCGGGGGCAGTGAGTTTAACTTGATGGTGGTGGATGTGGATGAACTTGGAGGACATTAATTACACTGAGTGAAATAACTCAGTCATAGAAGGACAAATACGGTGTTAGTTCATTATTGTAAAAAGTCAAGGAAAGGTTTATATATGGAAGGAAACTTTCTTTGTTGGTTATGGGAGGGCGGAGCGACACTATAAAAATTTTTTGTAAAGATGGTGTTGGAGGCATGCAGAAAGGAAGGACAAGGATGACAACCCCTGGAAGGATGTCACCAGGGTCACCAGGCTGTTCATTAGAAATTGTTGAAATAGGGCATCTTTGGCTACGTAGGCTTCCACCAAAATTAACAAATTGAAAAAGAAAACAAGACATTAAGTGGGAGGACCACAGTCACACAAAAAGGAAGCGTGCCTCTCATTCTTCTACCAGGTCTTCTGGTCCTTTGTCCGCGGGCCCTTGTTGTTGGTAGGTGTCATTGCGTCAGTTCCAACCCACAGCGGCCCATGTACAACAGAACGGGACAGTGCCCGGCCCTGCGCCAGCCGCACAGCCACGCAATGTGTGAGCCCATCGTCACGGCCAGCGCGTCAGTCCCCCTCATTGAGCGTCTCCCTCTTTCGCTGACCCCCCGCCACACCCAGCATGACCTCCTCCAGGGACCAGTGCCTTCTGGTAACAGGATCACAGGGAGACTTTGACCTGCCTCACAAAGACTTTGTTCCTTGGAAAAAGCACGTTGGTAGCTTTCACTTTCCTAAGCGAGTAGAGCGGGCGATCAGAACTGACTAATGAGCTGAGTTTTTAAATAAACGAATAAATACAGGTGCCACCTTGGCACCTGGCCGCATGGGAGCTGAGCAGCTGCCGAGCGGCAGACGGGGCTTGGCCTGGAGAACCCGCGTCGCGGCTGCCACACGCAGAAACGTGTCCGCAGCTAGACCGGAACACACTGCAGACGGGTGACTTGGCCTGGCCTTCTCTGAGGGCGCACACACACCCCCATGTCTGGTAGCTCCATTCTGGCTTATGGTTACAGTGACCATGGTGACTGCCAGAGCTCTCAGCCAGGCACACGCAGCCCTGCAGGGTGACGTGAAAGCGGCTTTGCTGCTTTGGAAACTCGACTTCCGCTAACATGGACCAGCCTGCTTTGGTTGTTTCACACATCCGTTTCGTATGCCCACAGATAGTCATGTAACGTTCTGTTGATGTGGTTTTGCTCAGTGGATATCGGAATCGTGTCTATACAGTTCAGTGACATTCAACAGGACTGTCCGTTTCCAAATTTCATCGCCCCTCCCAGGAGCTCAGTGTCCCCAGGGCAACGGCTCACCTTGTGCTTACCGTGTCCCCACCTCCTGGAACCACTAATACACTTTGACCTCTGTGTTGTCGTGTGCCGTCGAGTAGATTCCGATTAATAGTGACCCCATGTGACAGAGCGGAACTGCCCTGTGTGGCTTCTTAGACCGTAATCTCTACGGGGGCAGGTCTTTTTTCCTGTGGAGTGGTTGGTGAGTTCGAACTGCTGACCTTTTGGTTAGCACCTCAGCTTTTAACCATGGTGTCACCAGGGCTCTGTGAGCTCTGGACACTTGCATAACCAAAAAAAAAAAAGAAAAAGAAAAATTCACTGCCGTCAAGTTGTTTCTGACTCATAGCGACCCCTCCTTGGGTTTCCGAGGCGGTATCATTATGGAAGTAGATTGCCCAACCTTCCTTCCAAGGAGTATCTGGTGGGTTTGAACCGCCAGCCTTCTGGTTAGCAGTCAAGTGCCTTAGGCACTGTGCCACCAGGGCTCCCATACACATGCCTAGTCAAGCTGTTCGAGGTAAGTGGGATCACAGTGCCTATGGCTCAGTGATGTCATGCCCATTACGTCACTGGCATTCTGACTCCCACACCAGGCATGTGTTAGGAGACCTGACGCTGGTTGCTTAGCAACGTTCCTGAGTCATCTGGCCTCTGGCTCTGAAGCTCAGGCCCTGACCAGGACAGCCCATTACACACTGAGGCCACATGACACCCTGGGGCCTGTGGGAACTCACAGTCCCAACAGGTAACATGGATCATTTAATGCCTTGGAGGCATGGAGACACCTTCCTCTCCTTCCAGCAACTAAACCCAAAAACCAAACCCCCTTCTATCGAGTCAATTCCAACTCATAGCGACGCCATTGGGTTTTGAAGGCTACAAATCTTTATGGAAGTAGGTCACCCCATCTTCCTTCCACAGAGCAGCTGATGGGTTTGAACTGCTGACCTCTGGTTAGCAGTCAGACGCCTTATCCACCACACCACCAAGTAGATGTGAAAGTGCTCTCCACTGGGCTTTCCTATTGTGGAATCAGAGAGAACAAGCCATCGGAACGTATTTGATACCTGTCAGTCTCCCTGTGTATAATATACACTTATCTGTATACACATACACACATACTTATAGACGGAGCTCTAGTGGTGGTATGGTTGAGGCATTTGGCTGCTAACCAAAAGGTCAGTGGTTCCAATCCACCACCCGTCCCGCAGAAGAAAGATGATGTGGTCTGCTTCCTTAAAGATTTACAGCTTTGGAAATGGTATAAGTTGGGATTGACTCAGTGGCACTGAGATTGATTTTGGGTTTAGATAGATAGATAGATATCCCATTACCATCAAGTCGATTCTGACGCATGGTGACCCTACAGAACAGAGCAGAGCTGCCCCACAGAGCTTCCAAGGCGTTCCTCTTTAGGGAAGCGGATTGGCAGGTCTTTCTCCCACAGAGAGACCGAGGTTGAACCGACCTATTGGTTAGCAGCTGAACGCCTAACCACTGTGCCATCAGGACTGCTACGAAGTGATCTGGTGGGGGTGGCAGTGATGCCATTGAGTCGATTCTGAGCCACAGCGCCCCTAGAGGACAGAGTGGAACTGCCCCACAGGGTCTCCAAGGCTGTCAGTCTTCACAGAAGCAAAGCCCAAACCACACCCACTGCCGT